GCCCGTCGCAGTCCGCCGCGCGTCGCCAGCGCAAGCCCTTTCTCCGGCCGAAGTTAAGGTTGGTGTCCTCGAAGAGTGCGACCCATCCATGGTGGTTGCCGCCGCATCTCCTCTCGACGCGCCGTCACGCGCCGTTTCTGTGTGTTCTTTCACGGGCGCGTGGGTTCACGCGCCGCCTCTCCGTGTCGGATCTTCACCGCGCCACTGCCGGCCGTTTCGCCTCCGTTTCCTGAGTGTGTTGTGGTCTCTGATTTGCTGTTCCGTTGAGGGTTGCCCGTTTAGGGTTTCTTCCACAATCTTTTTTTTTCTTTTTCTTGTTCGGCTTTATAATGGCTGGTCTTGGAACACCGTCTCTTCTACTACTCCAACCATTACTTCTGCAGAAACTCAATTGGAAAAACTATCTATCTTGGTCTTCTTCTGTGGAGTTATGGTTTCTTGGTCAAGGACACCATGACCATCTTGAACAAGATGTTTCCACCGGCCTGAAGAAGAGAAATCTCAATGGCAGAAGCTTGATTCGGACTATGTGTGTCACTATATGGCAATTTGAACCAGAGTCTTAGAAATTTTGGACCTTACAAAAGTGCTCCTCCTTTGGAGAAAAGCCAGGATATCTTTGCTACGATGTACAACGCCTCGTTGATGCAACTCAAAGAGTGACTTCCCTCAACAAAACCAATCATGATATGGTTTACTTACATAGGAACGGCCCGTGCTGCTGTAGAAGAATTGAAGAATTTCTTTGTGCTGATGCTATAGAAGGCCATAAACAAAGAAGCGTGATAATTGTTTACATGGTCTAATTTTAAGGAAGCGGCGGCGACGGTGGCCGGCCGCGGACAGAGGTTGGCGGCAGACAGTGGCTGGCGATGGTCGATGGCAGAGGCGACTGGTTGCACTGATACTAACTATGGCACAGATTTCAGAAGAAGAGAAAGGGCTGTCCACTGAAATTTTAGGGGCTGCCGGCGGCCATGGCGACCGGCCGCCGGCAGACAGCAGAGGCCACGAGAAGAGATCAGAGAACCTGCTCTGATACCATGTTGAATATAGTGAAAAACTATATTTAGATTAATCTCCCTTGTGTTAAATACACACACATAGGGTTCTCTATTTATAATAGAAGAAATATGGGCTAAGCCCAAAATACAAATGAGAAATAATAACAAACTAACTAAAAGATAAAAGATATAATATATCTAACACTTTCAATCCAACATTAAGATGGCAACCTAGTTACCTCCAGGAATCTTTTGAAAAATTGGTACAAATACAACACTTGCAAGGAGTAACCAGAGCATGTCAAAGAGGGAGGCTTCCTCCTCATCCACCTACGATTAATACATTCCAAAGTTAGATAAAACTTAATAGTAAAGAATATGAATAAGTAAAACATACCTCTTGATCAGGTAATGATGCAATGATTTTCTTAATTCTCCTGGGAAGATCCTGAAGCCTTCTAACCAGAGGCTTTGCAGTTGAAGAAACTTCTTCAACAGTGGTTGCAATGACTTCTGGTTGCTGAAGCAGCTGAGCACCCCTCTCGGCTCTATTGCTATAGAGTACAAGCCTGAAATAAAATTCCACCTCATCTTGAAAAAACATAGTAAAACCTCATGTTGATCTGCACATCTAATTGGCATGTCATGTAGAAAAGTATAAACTTCCAGAGTAGGAATTTAATTTCCCAAACAGTTTTAAAACAAGCCAGTGAATATTTTAGACTTGATAACTTGCTATTATCTCACACAAAAGCCAAAAATTATCATACTAATTTTTAACATGTTTTACTCTTATACCATAAATATTTATGCTAGTCATATGATCTATATACTTCAAGATTGTTTCCAAAAAGGTTGAAATAAAACTAACAGCAAAAATAGGATCAGGATAAACAAAGGTCATACACACCCTGCTCCAATTAGCAATAACCCAACAATTAGCTTGGCTAGTTGCTTCTGTGCAGACTCCATAAGACCATGGAAAACTGATGCAGGTGTGTAATCAGTCTCATCGGCAGTAAAAGAGAAGAATGATGCGGGAAAAAATCGGGAAGATTTCTTCAATAATGCCTTTGGAAAAAATGATGAATTATCTCTAGTCAAATCTTTTTGTGTTTCCTGCTTTTTTGTTTGAACTACATTCTTTGACTTCTCTGTTTCAACTTCAGCTTCTTTAGAAGAGTCTAAGCTTAATTGTCCGTTCTCTCGATCACTCAGATAATCAGACTGTGCCATGTCTTCCAAACTTTGCCTACTGTTGTCAGATTTTGTTTCGGTCAGTAAAAGCTCATCATCATTTGAAAGATCAGCCTCCCTTTTAACGACATCATCACCAGAAAAGCCTTGACCCACTTCCTCGTCCTCGGGAATAGCTACAATCTCTTGTACTTGTAGACTGTCTTTGGTATCAGCTTTAAGACTAGAGGCAATTTTTTCTGCTTTCTGTAATGCAATCTCTGCATCATTCACCTGTTGTGCAGCATCAATTTCGGCAGCAACAGCTTTTTCCGCTAAAAGCATTATGCTTGCAACATCTTCATCTGCTTTTGCTGCTTTCAGCTGCTCCTGTTCTGCAACTTCATGCAAATTGTTCACTTCACTCTGCAACTCCTCCTTTCTACATTGCAAGCCTCTCAGCTCATCCTCGCAATATGATAAATTTGTCTGGCATTCCTTGATATCTTCCTGAGCATCCAAAAGTTCCTTCGATTCCTGCATTATGTCTTTATCATCATTAATGTTGTTAGAACCTTCTGAGGAATCGTAAGCTTCTTTTGTAGCCTCGTAAGACTCTATGGCTACTTGAAGCCTTGCCTCAGCCAGAGAAAGGGCCATAGTTGCTTTCTGAACAGCTTCTTTGGCAACAAATTCTTGACCCACAATATCTTGGATGATATCAAGGGTAGAAGTAACATTGTTCCAAGCACTTGCTGCTTCATCTTGCAAGAAAATCGCAGTCTCTGATATCTTCTTAACCTTTTCCTCAAATACAACGCTGTTTTCTCGAGCGGCTTCTAATTCTTTCTTGGCCTTTTGCAGCTGTTCTTTCAATTCATCCACATTTTGATCCTCCGCTACTTCACCCCCAGCTTCTTTCCTCCCTTCTTGCCCATTTTCACCCAAAGATTCACAAGATTCAGCACTGGAACCAGAGTCCTCATCCGCACTTTCCACCCTATCAACATTCCGCCCATTGCCATTGACATATGATAAAGAATCGTTACCCTGACACTTTGTCCAAATTTTCCTACTCCCCCTGAAAAGTTTATTTCTCTTCCAACACATACTCCTCTTCCCACTCGAAACTTTCAACTCTCCGAAACAGTCTACTCTCGAACAACTCCAACTACCTATCTTGTTCGTTCCACTAAAACGAGCCTTCGAAATAGTCCTCGACTTGCCGAGAAAAGCGCAACAAAAACCTCTCCCGCCAAATACAGTGCAAGAATCCAAACCATCCAATACCACATTTGACTGCGGTAACCTAAAAGCTACATCCATGTTCTCTCCCCAAACAAAACACTCTCACGGAACCACTTCTCTTCAATGCACTCCACCACCAATTCCTCGAAAAAACTGAAACGAAAGAGTCCAAAAAAGAATCAGAAAGCTCCACAAGATTCAACACAACTCAAAATTGATGGGAAAATCTCACCATACACACCCTCAAATATGCTCCTCAAATATGTTTATGAAATTGAATCTTATTATTCATTATAATTGAAGGGCTTTAAATAGCATAACACTTACAATATTACGAAAAATAAAAATAAAATATCAACTATCTTAAAAATAAAATCTATATCATAAAATAATATTGTACCTAGATAAACCGAAAATCATCCGAAAATCATAACTATGTATCCCTATTTTATCTCTATCAAATCAAACTAAATATTATTATACCCAAAAACTAATAAAATAAGATTTAAACAAAATTATTAATAAAACCCTAAAATTTAAGTTTATCCCAACAAACTTCCCATAAACTTAAATTCTTCCTTCCTTCGTTCGATTTTCATGTGCATCATCCTACTCCGGGTTTGCATCTTCTCTCCAAGCTCCAATTCATACAACCGGTTCTTCTTTGCTTTTACCTAGGTTGTTAGACAACCATGTTTATCCTTTAAATACAGTACCTGATTTTTTCATAAAAATTGAATTATCTTTTTCAATTATCTGACCCATGCTTAAAATATTGCTCTTCAACTCTGGAACGTAATAAACGTCCCTAATCTCTCCAACTCGTCCATTAATCTGAATATGTCGAATTGTTCCACGCCCTTTCACGGCCACCTTGGAGTCATCTCCAAAAGACACAAATTTGGCCTCCACTTTGGTGAGTTCATAAAAAAAGTTCTCGTTCCCACACATATGATTGCTTGCTCCAGTATCTAGATACCATACCGAGTTGGTAGAAATCTCATCATCCTTCATCTCTTCTTCATCTTCTTCATCTTCTTCCCTATTTTTATCTAGTTCAATAACGCTAGATGCTTTCTCTTCCTTTTCAGGAGCCGTCTTCTTCAACTCCTCAAGTTCAACCCTCTGTTTATTCATAATTTCATTAGCTTCATCCACAAGCCTCCCCATCCGCTGAATCTCTTCATCTTTTTGTTTGAGTTCCTTTTCCACATTTGTCGCACCTTTTATTGAGATCACTTCATCCAATATTGAGACGGAATTTTCCATGTCCATTGTATCCGAGCTCTTTGCCAACAATAGTTCTTCTACATCTTCTTCTGCATCTTCAGTAACGAGATTCGTCTCCCCCTTTGTCTCGGTCTTGCAATACTTTGCAATATGACCAAACTTGCCACAGTTGTAGCACTTTGTTGATCTACACTCGTTTGCAAAGTGGTCGTACTTGCCACACTTAAAACACTCCACTCTTGACTGATCTCCTNAAATACAAATGAGAAATAATAACAAACTAACTAAAAGATAAAAGATATAATATATCTAACACTTTCAATCCAACATTAAGATGGCAACCTAGTTACCTCCAGGAATCTTTTGAAAAATTGGTACAAATACAACACTTGCAAGGAGTAACCAGAGCATGTCAAAGAGGGAGGCTTCCTCCTCATCCACCTACGATTAATACATTCCAAAGTTAGATAAAACTTAATAGTAAAGAATATGAATAAGTAAAACATACCTCTTGATCAGGTAATGATGCAATGATTTTCTTAATTCTCCTGGGAAGATCCTGAAGCCTTCTAACCAGAGGCTTTGCAGTTGAAGAAACTTCTTCAACAGTGGTTGCAATGACTTCTGGTTGCTGAAGCAGCTGAGCACCCCTCTCGGCTCTATTGCTATAGAGTACAAGCCTGAAATAAAATTCCACCTCATCTTGAAAAAACATAGTAAAACCTCATGTTGATCTGCACATCTAATTGGCATGTCATGTAGAAAAGTATAAACTTCCAGAGTAGGAATTTAATTTCCCAAACAGTTTTAAAACAAGCCAGTGAATATTTTAGACTTGATAACTTGCTATTATCTCACACAAAAGCCAAAAATTATCATACTAATTTTTAACATGTTTTACTCCGATACCATAAATATTTATGCTAGTCATATGATCTATATACTTCAAGATTGTTTCCAAAAAGGTTGAAATAAAACTAACAGCAAAAATAGGATCAGGATAAACAAAGGTCATACACACCCTGCTCCAATTAGCAATAACCCAACAATTAGCTTGGCTAGTTGCTTCTGTGCAGACTCCATAAGACCATGGAAAACTGATGCAGGTGTGTAATCAGTCTCATCGGCAGTAAAAGAGAAGAATGATGCGGGAAAAAATCGGGAAGATTTCTTCAATAATGCCTTTGGAAAAAATGATGAATTATCTCTAGTCAAATCTTTTTGTGTTTCCTGCTTTTTTGTTTGAACTACATTCTTTGACTTCTCTGTTTCAACTTCAGCTTCTTTAGAAGAGTCTAAGCTTAATTGTCCGTTCTCTCGATCACTCAGATAATCAGACTGTGCCATGTCTTCCAAACTTTGCCTACTGTTGTCAGATTTTGTTTCGGTCAGAAAAAGCTCATCATCATTTGAAAGATCAGCCTCCCTTTTAACGACATCATCACCAGAAAAGCCTTGACCCACTTCCTCGTCCTCGGGAATAGCTACAATCTCTTGTACTTGTAGACTGTCTTTGGTATCAGCTTTAAGACTAGAGGCAATTTTTTCTGCTTTCTGTAATGCAATCTCTGCATCATTCACCTGTTGTGCAGCATCAATTTCGGCAGCAACAGCTTTTTCCGCTAAAAGCATTATGCTTGCAACATCTTCATCTGCTTTTGCTGCTTTCAGCTGCTCCTGTTCTGCAACTTCATGCAAATTGTTCACTTCACTCTGCAACTCCTCCTTTCTACATTGCAAGCCTCTCAGCTCATCCTCGCAATATGATAAATTTGTCTGGCATTCCTTGATATCTTCCTGAGCATCCAAAAGTTCCTTCGATTCCTGCATTATGTCTTTATCATCATTAATGTTGTTAGAACCTTCTGAGGAATCGTAAGCTTCTTTTGTAGCCTCGTAAGACTCTATGGCTACTTGAAGCCTTGCCTCAGCCAGAGAAAGGGCCATAGTTGCTTTCTGAACAGCTTCTTTGGCAACAAATTCTTGACCCACAATATCTTGGATGATATCAAGGGTAGAAGTAACATTGTTCCAAGCACTTGCTGCTTCATCTTGCAAGAAAATCGCAGTCTCTGATATCTTCTTAACCTTTTCCTCAAATACAACGCTGTTTTCTCGAGCGGCTTCTAATTCTTTCTTGGCCTTTTGCAGCTGTTCTTTCAATTCATCCACATTTTGATCCTCCGCTACTTCACCCCCAGCTTCTTTCCTCCCTTCTTGCCCATTTTCACCCAAAGATTCACAAGATTCAGCACTGGAACCAGAGTCCTCATCCGCACTTTCCACCCTATCAACATTCCGCCCATTGCCATTGACATATGATAAAGAATCGTTACCCTGACACTTTGTCCAAATTTTCCTACTCCCCCTGAAAAGTTTATTTCTCTTCCAACACATACTCCTCTTCCCACTCGAAACTTTCAACTCTCCGAAACAGTCTACTCTCGAACAACTCCAACTACCTATCTTGTTCGTTCCACTAAAACGAGCCTTCGAAATAGTCCTCGACTTGCCGAGAAAAGCGCAACAAAAACCTCTCCCGCCAAATACAGTGCAAGAATCCAAACCATCCAATACCACATTTGACTGCGGTAACCTAAAAGCTACATCCATGTTCTCTCCCCAAACAAAACACTCTCACGGAACCACTTCTCTTCAATGCACTCCACCACCAATTCCTCGAAAAAACTGAAACGAAAGAGTCCAAAAAAGAATCAGAAAGCTCCACAAGATTCAACACAACTCAAAATTGATGGGAAAATCTCACCATACACACCCTCAAATATGCTCCTCAAATATGTTTATGAAATTGAATCTTATTATTCATTATAATTGAAGGGCTTTAAATAGCATAACACTTACAATATTACGAAAAATAAAAATAAAATATCAACTATCTTAAAAATAAAATCTATATCATAAAATAATATTGTACCTAGATAAACCGAAAATCATCCGAAAATCATAACTATGTATCCCTATTTTATCTCTATCAAATCAAACTAAATATTATTATACCCAAAAACTAATAAAATAAGATTTAAACAAAATTATTAATAAAACCCTAAAATTTAAGTTTATCCCAACAAACTTCCCATAAACTTAAATTCTTCCTTCCTTCGTTCGATTTTCATGTGCATCATCCTACTCCGGGTTTGCATCTTCTCTCCAAGCTCCAATTCATACAACCGGTTCTTCTTTGCTTTTACCTAGGTTGTTAGACAACCATGTTTATCCTTTAAATACAGTACCTGATTTTTTCATAAAAATTGAATTATCTTTTTCAATTATCTGACCCATGCTTAAAATATTGCTCTTCAACTCTGGAACGTAATAAACGTCCCTAATCTCTCCAACTCGTCCATTAATCTGAATATGTCGAATTGTTCCACGCCCTTTCACGGCCACCTTGGAGTCATCTCCAAAAGACACAAATTTGGCCTCCACTTTGGTGAGTTCATAAAAAAAGTTCTCGTTCCCACACATATGATTGCTTGCTCCAGTATCTAGATACCATACCGAGTTGGTAGAAATCTCATCATCCTTCATCTCTTCTTCATCTTCTTCATCTTCTTCCCTATTTTTATCTAGTTCAATAACGCTAGATGCTTTCTCTTCCTTTTCAGGAGCCGTCTTCTTCAACTCCTCAAGTTCAACCCTCTGTTTATTCATAATTTCATTAGCTTCATCCACAAGCCTCCCCATCCGCTGAATCTCTTCATCTTTTTGTTTGAGTTCCTTTTCCACATTTGTCGCACCTTTTATTGAGATCACTTCATCCAATATTGAGACGGAATTTTCCATGTCCATTGTATCCGAGCTCTTTGCCAACAATAGTTCTTCTACATCTTCTTCTGCATCTTCAGTAACGAGATTCGTCTCCCCCTTTGTCTCGGTCTTGCAATACTTTGCAATATGACCAAACTTGCCACAGTTGTAGCACTTTGTTGACCTACCCTCGTTTGCAAAGTGGTCGTACTTGCCACACTTAAAACACTCCACTCTTGACTGATCTCCTCGACCTTTTCCTTGTCCTCGATCATGCCAATTCTGCTGACCGGTTTGATCTTCATTATCATTACCTCGGCCACGTCCACCTCGTCCTCTGCCACCAGGACCTCGGCTCTGAGTAATCCGAGTTTTATTCGAGTCAAACTGTACCTGTAGTGCTTGGTCGTCGGGTTCAACTTGATCATCCCAACTTCTTCTCCTTTGTTTGTGGGCTTCTAATGACCCAGCAAGTTTATCCACTGTGAGAACCGACAAGTCTTTCGATTCTTCGATGGCGCACACGATACTTTCGAAATCTTTTGTAAGAGATCTCAAAATTTTTCCCACAACCCGGCTAGATGGCATTTGTTCTCCATTCCTACCGAGTTGGTTGGCCACCTTCTCCACCCGAGTTATGTACTCGGTTATATTCTCTTTGGGTTCCATCTTCAACTGTTCAAACTCTCCTTTGAGAGCTTGTATTCAGACTTGTCTAACGCAATTGTCACCTTTATATGCAACCTCCAATATCTCCCAGGCTTCCTTTGCTGATTTGGCATTCGCTATCTTTTCAAATCCCGACTCATCTACTGCATTGTAGATGAAATATAATGCTGACTCATCTCTTGCACGAGTTTTCTTCAATGTTGTCATCTGTGTCACCGTCTGATGTTCGTCCGCATCAGGATCAACGTACCCGTCTTCCACCATATCCCAAATGTCTTAGGATCTCAATAACGCCTTCATCTGTAGGCACCAATTATCATAATTGGTTTTTCTCGTCAATTGTGGCACACTCATACCATTGACAACCTTTGTCATCTCTCAAAAAACCAAGCACTCACTTTTTCTCTCACGGTGTTTGACTCTTTCCTCTCTCTCTTTTTCTCTCTGTCGGTACTCAGAGCCTAAAGCTCTGATACCACTGTTGGGAAAATATCACGATACACACTCAAATATTTTCCTGACATTGAGTCTTATTATTCATTATAATTGAAGGGCTTTAAATAGTCATAACACTTACAATATTACGAGCAATAAAAATAAAATATCAACTATCTTAAAAATAAAATCTGCTTAATCTATCGTAAAATAATATTGTACCTACATAAACCGAGAATGATAACTACGTGTTCCTATTTTATCTCTATCAAATCAAACTAAATATTACTATACCCAAAAACTAATAAAATAAGATTTAAACAAAATTATTAATAAAACCCTAAAATTTAAGTTTATCCCAACAAAAATCACGTTCAAACACAGCTCAAGAGCAACATATTATACTATCACTGAATATCATTCGTTTCAGAGAGTGCATGCTATAACCAGTAGCATTTTCGTTTTCTCGCATTCATTCAATTCAACAGAAAGATATTTAGAAATAAACAAAACGAAGAGAAGCATTATCGCAAGGCTAAACGTAGATGAAACTACCGAAACGTAGAGAAATGAACAGAAAGCTTCGAGCAGAGAAATGGAAATGGAATTTACAAATTTGCGTCCAGTTGAAGACGGATGAAAATGAATGAATGTGTTGCTTGCGTGTTCTGTTAAAACGGTCAGCGAAGTGAGTAAGCAGATACACAACGAAGGGAGGGAGAAGATATTTATTCACAAAACCAAGCTTTGTCTTCACCTCCGGTTAACGCGCGTGGGCCTTTATTGTAGCTCTCTAAAATTAATATTATTCTAAATTTCTAAATTTAGTACAAGTCAGAAAATTTTCGGTCATTTTTTTATTTAACTAGATTTATCATGTTTTTTACTGTTTGAAGTAGTGACGTAATTTAAGTAATAATAAAAAATAGAGAACGTGTTATTTTTTATTTATGTATTAATTAAAAATTGCATTGTCAACAACTCATAAATTTTACTAACTATGATTTTTATTGAATAAATAATATAAAATATCTTTATAATATTTCTGTGTTTAAATTAAACCTTATATAACTTTTTTATGTAAAATAAGCTATCAATTTCATATGTAACTTTTTTAACTAATTTAAGAATATTAAAAATAATATAATCTCTAAATATTAAAAAATCTTATCGTAAAACCTTTTCGATTACCTTATTTTAAAGATTTATAATTTCAAAAAGTAGTTTTACTACTTTGGAGACTGTTTAGGAGGAAAGATAATATTCTTTGGATGAAATATGTTTTATACTTTTAATGAAACTATTATGAATAGGTGAGTTTTAAATTAAAGATGTGATTAATTAATAAAGAGTTAGAGAAAAATAAAATTGTGTATTTCATTTTAAAATAAAGAAATTAGTGAAATATACGGTAGCGTGTGAAGAAAGTGTGGTCAAACATTGGGGATATATTTTTTGTATTTATTTTATGATCACTCGGGGATATATATGCAAAAAATAAAGTTCTGTGATGAATGGACACTGCAATTTCAAAGAAATATCTAAAGCATATTCGTTCACTTCATTCTCATATCCGAAAAAAATTATTAATATTTTTGTATTTTGATAAAATAATATTAAAGTATTTAAAATTATTTATATTAACAATTTATGATAAGATATATTATTTCTCTCCTGCATACATCCATTACATTATAAGTGGAAGTTCTAAGTGATTTCAAATTCAATATTTTCATGGTAAATAGTGTGCATATTTTGACATATGTGTCACCTAAGTCCATTCACCTTTCTCAATGGAAAAAATTATGTTAATAAACATCACTTTGCCCAAAGTGATAAATGAGAATATTATAGTGAGATAATTTGTTTTCAAAATAGTTCTCTTAGGTTGATCACCCTAACAACAAAACACAACTTTTTCATCTCTAAACGGATACGCAACACCAAATAACGAATAAACTAAAATAATTGCTAATCACTGAGAAAATCAAACTCACCTTAATTGCTGACAACCACAAAAGTTCAATGCTCAAAATCTTCTTCCCTTCTCTTTTCAATGATTCGAAATCCCTGACATTGTTTTTGTTTAATTCCCTGATCTAGAAAGCCTTAACTTTGTTCTTATTCGAATTCTTAATTCCTCTGTTAACACAACCTTCTAAATAAACACAATTAAATTCCACATAATAATATTACCATGTTTAATGTACACCACCATTTAGATTTAAACATGGTTAACAATTTGGATCTATTTATTACACATTTTTCAAAATAAAAACACAATTAAGATTACTTAAAATCAAAGAACGAATTCGATATTTTAGAACAAATAAAAAACCATATAAGGGTTTAAACCATCTTTTAAAAAAACTATTTAAACAACAAATTAGTTATTTTAGAAGTTATAACTTTACTTAAAATTTTGACAATTAAACTTTTTACTAATTATAAATAATATCTTACTTAAAAAAACGTGAAAGGAAATATATTTTCTATTCATTAAAAAAATCAATCTTAAAAAGTGATAATTTTTAAGTTTAATTTCATCACATAACTTATATATCGTAATTCAACAATCGATAAGACAATACAATTAATATACACTTTTTAAGGATAAACTTTGAATAAATCAAATATCAAACTTCCATGATTCAACCTGGATTTGTGAGGTTTGTGGAATTTTTTGTGTGCTTATTTTTATGTTTAAGTCCATATCGGATTATAACAATTAATGTAATTAATTTATTAGTTACATAATTTAAAAATATATATATATATTGATTACTTCAAATGGAATGGATAATTTTTCACAGAAGAAATTAAAGAAAACATGGGTTACTCAAACTTTTGTTTTATTTCAAATACATTAACAAAACTCTCAAGTTAGTTTACAAGGAAACCAAAAAAGAATTTGTAGGAAATTTTGAGAGTAAAGACTTGAAACAAAAGACCCTGCTCAAACTGAAAGAAGGTGGGGGAGGGGAATGGATTTCCTTCAAGAGCTTTCTTCTTCTTCTTCTTCTTCTTCTTTTTCTTCACTTTTTTCTTCACTTTTTTCTTCACTTTTTTCTTCATCTTCCACTACTTTAGGTTCCTCAGATGCTACTGGTGGATGTGATGGCTCCTCAAATAGAGGCTCAGGAGGTGTAGAAGAACCAGTCCTCTTGTGTGCAGCAGCTTGGAGCACATGGCTGTAGTTCCCTTTCTCCATGAACAGTTGTTGAAAGTGGACTCTGCAGTAGAGGACACCATCAAGGGCAGCATAGCTTGAATGTGTCAGAGGGCACCCTGCATGAGCACACCTGAAACAAGTCTTGTGGTAGCATTCTCCTTCCAGTGTTACCTATTTCATCAACAAAACCAAATTTCCATGCATGGTTAGTTTAGTCATGTCAAACAAAATCCTATTTAAAGTGATTTGAAATCATTCTAAATTCAATGGTCTTATTAGTTTTTATGTGTTTTTGGAAAAAATTAAGTCTAAGTTCTATATAAAATGAGAAAATTGAAAATTCATAAACCTATTGTCTTAAAGGTGTTTGTTTAAAAGTGGTGTCAATCTTTTTATGTGTTTTGAATTCAAATTACATTTATAAAATCTCTCCATGATGAATCCTCACTCAAAAGACCCATCAATGTTATTTACATGATATAGATGTGAAGTATCTAGTGACTTCTTTATGAACAATACTAGTATTTTTGAGAAATATGACAGTACAAACTTGTTCTCACTTTTTCATGTTTCATGGTGAAGATATGAGAGATCACAGACCTTTTCAAGAGGATAGACTGTTTTAGCGCATACTGCACATTTGTCCAGGGTTCCACTGAACATGGAAGATAGCTTGCTGGGAGTTCTGTTCTGCTATTGATCATGATATAACTTGTATGTTAGATGGAGAATACAATAATACGTAATCATACATAGGAAAGTGTATGGTAGTATAATTAATTCGTAAAGTGTGTGTCAAGAAAGGATAGGGAACATACTATTTCATTTTGTTTCTCAGCCGACTTTGCTGCAACATTTAGAATCAAGAAAACAACATAGCTTCATTAGTGTAAATAACAGGAAGTGACATGATCATATGTTTAGCCAAATTCATAACACAAAAAGTTTAGCCAAAAGATGCTCTTCCTCTTACCGAAGTTCTTGCTGAAATTGCCAGATTCCTTGAAGAGTTGTTCAAAATGTGTCTTGCAGTATAGAACTCCATCCATTGAGGAGTATGTGCTCATCTGATCAACATTGAGTTGTGAACAATGTTTAAATGACAACTTTTTAATATAATGTGTGAGAAGAAATATCCCACAAAGCAAAATCTTGGTTTTAAATCTTTTGTATAAAAGTGGCATTCCTAAACCTCCTCATATCAGAACAAATTACCATCTTTGTAGAATGATATTAAGATAAATTTTCTTTGACCCTCTTAACTATAATGTCTCTGATTCCACATTGGAATTACAAATAGATAATAGTAAAATCATGAAGGAAAAAATGAAGAGAATGAAGGGTGTTGTACCGTGAGACATCCCTTGCAGTGACTGCATTTGAAGCAGTTCTTATGGTAAGGAGTGCCTTCAAGAGTTAACAGGTCAACCACATAAACAGTCTTGTCGCATGCATTGCATTTGTCTAGAGTTCCAGTGAAAGACATGTTTTTTTTCCTCCCCTTCCTTTATTGCTTGTGTTTTTTTTTTTTTGTGTTTTTTATTCCCTTTGGGGATGTCTGAGGAACAAAGAGGGGTTGAACAAGAATGCTCGCCTCAGACAAAAGGGAACTGAACAAAGTCTTGGATATGTCTCAGCAGAAAGTAACTTATATCAACACATAGGTTTCTTTGTAAGTGGTTAACAAGTGATTGTAGACCCTAAAATTGTGAAACAAAAATGGAAAAGCTATGTGTTATTTGTGGATATGATCTAATTGAATGGAGAGAAAAGAGGCTGGTTGGTTTGACCACTTTAATTAGAAGAGATTATTGGATGGAACAAAAATAGTTATTTCCAACTTTTCTTTGGTTTATACTATTCTTGTGATTAAGATGTGGATTTCATAATTAAGAGGTTAATAAAAGATGTTAAGCTCATTGATCTTTGTAAATTAAGAGACTATTTTTATCTTTAGCATGTTTTAATTTTGGTCAAATCTATAGTCATCAGGCTCCTACTTCTCTTCTCCAATCTTGAATCTAGAAAGAAAATAGTTCATCCTCCCTGGTATTGTAACAGTAATTTAAACTAGTATTTATTTATTGAAGAAATAATTATAGAATCTGTGAATTAAATATAGATCTAGGTTGAAATAGCTTTTTTTTTTTTGCAAAATTCACGTTCCACTTCTTTAAATTAGTTTTTGATAATCAGCTTTTAGAGATAATGTGTGAATTATATCCATTAAAGAAAATTATAGACTGAGTATGTAGAAAAATTGTACAAATAATAAATTCTTAGAAGTAAAATTGTTCCATAGATCCTTAGATAATAAAAATAAAATTCCAATCATTAATATTTTTTGTTTTTTACTTCTTGTGCTTATATTATGTTCATGCTTTAAAGAATTCATGAGATTATAATATTATTTAAACTCATCTTTACAGATCTTCGTTCTTATCTATATATTATTCAACTCTATCTATTTAGTTTCAAACTCATTTAAATTCATCTTATTAGTTCAAGTATAATTTGTTTCTTAATCAAACTTCTACCTGTGCTCTTCTCAGTACATCTTTGTACCCTTTCGCCAACTTCT